TTATTAAGCATGGAAGAATTGCATCTAACTATGTAACACATTACATTTACAGAGTGCTATTGAATACACGTTATACATTAAACAAAATGATGAAAAGATTTAATAATGTATTACTTCACACTGCAGGGTTTCTAGAATGTAGCAATATGGCATATAATAGACAAGAATGCTGACTAAAAGTAGAAATGCTAAGAGAGACTTCCAATATAGGTAGGACAGTACATATTTAATCAAATTTGTACCAATGTAATAGGTTATAATACTTTGAAACAAAAAGATAGAAAGGAATCCTTATAAAAAGCTATAATAGGCAGAGCTAAGTATGATTTTCAGAATTTGACTTAATTAAAACAGTTTATAATATGCTACATGGTAAAGGAAGTTGCGGGATGTCAGGACAATGTTTTTCCTTACCCTATCCCAGGTTTATTGTCTTTTGCCAGCATTACAATGTTCCCAAGCATTCAGATATGCAAAGCTATAATTTAAAGTGAACCTGCACTTTACACATATTGGAAAAAGAGGTTTACGTTACTGTACAAAATATGGAAAGCCTACAATTACCTTTGCTCACTCACTAGCCTAATTTGCCACCTGCGGATCCATGAAATACCCAGTACTTCTGAGTATGATGAAATGAGCATGTCCTGCGCCACTCCACAATGTGTACCTGATTGTCCAGGCTCTGAGTCTGTTTTCTGTTAGGGACAAGAGAATACGTATTTCTCAGTAGGTGTTTTTGCACCAAAATGTCAAAACCTACACAGGTATCTCAGGTGGGGGTGTAATAGATCACAGTACCAGTGGAAGGTAAACTCATGCTCAATGGTTCCTTGTACAGAAAAGTAAAACTGGTATTTTGCTCAGTATTTCTAAAGTGGAATTCACAAACAAAGGCAGCTCAGCTCCAACACCCACAAATAATTATGCACAGAGGAAAAGTGAACAAGCACAAAGCAGAAGTCAAGACATTAGAATAAAAACATAGGCCAATAGAGAAAAACCTGGTTCATGCATTAAAGACTTTCATTTATACAAAATTAAATTGTAGAAGTACCATAGAACTGCATGTAAAATGCAGTCCTGTGATCTGGCTGTGCAGCACTCAAAAGAGTCAGCTTAAGAAGGGATGACTGCAGGGGCTCTAGTGGGTAACATAATGTGGGTAACATGGGCAGTACAGTGGCTAAATGGTTAGCACTTCCGCCTGGCAGTACTAGGGTCGCTGGTTCGAATCCTAACCACGGCACCACCTGCCTGGAGTTTGCATGTTCTCCCTGTGTCTGCGTGGGTTTCCTCCGGGTACTCCGGTTTCCTCCCACAACATTAGCTTCAAAGAGCAGAGAAAAAAATGCTAACAGCTTCTAGGAGGTTAAAAAACGCTAGTGTACATGGAGCCTTAAACATCTGCTGGTTGTTTACACTAGAGAGCTGGCAGCCTGCCAAGATCTGCTCTCAATAGAAAAAAAAGTTCAGATTTCAATAACTGTGTTGCGAACTTTGAAAATGCATTTCTCCACATTGCCTTTGGCTACAGAGTTGAATGAGAACTCGCTTTGGTCTCTATGCATACTAGTTTTTTTTTAAGCTCCTAGAAGCTATTATCAGCATATTTGTTTTTCTGCTCCTAGAAGCTAAATAAAGTTATCCTATGTATGTGTGCACACTATATTAGGCTACTCCAAAGACATGCTGGTAGGTGAATTGGCTCCTGTCTAAATTGTCCCTAGTATGTGTATGTATGAATGTGAGTTAGGGACCTTAGAATGTAGACCTCTTGAGGGTTAGGGACCGATGTGAATGTACAATATATATGTAAAGCGCTGCGTAAATTGACGGCGCTATATAAGTACCTGAAATAAAAAAATAAAAAATAAATAATGTTATCATATGACAGTGGTAGGTGATTTGTTCTATAAAGCATTCAATAGGCACAACACTAGAAGATTGTATACTGTCAATCAGCTTTGGGTGAAAAAGGAGGGAGAGATATGCTGATATCACATGGGGGGTTCCACCTTCAGTGTATACTCACCCATAGTGACACCAGAAATTTCAGAATTGCTGCCATTTTACTGCAATGTAACAACTATAGTGCAAAGAAACTACTTCCTGAATCTAGACTGTGATTTGGGGGATGATTTTGTAAAGGCAAATAGAATTTTCACATAATCACATGTAAAACACGACAGGTTGGTTGCACCCGAGCTAATTGATCAATCAACTTGGGTACATTCAGCCTGCCCAAACCTAGTCCCTGCTGAACTGGCCGAGATTCGAACCATCTATGGCCAATTTAAGTCTGACTTTCTGCCTTTTAATGTACAGCCAATATACATTAGTGATTTAGAGTCTTGGGGAGAAGACTAATATATCTAAATGAAGACGTAGTTCACAGAATGGAATTGGCAGTTCATTTAGATCCAAATAGAAATTCACTAGGCCACATTGCTACGAGCTGCTTTTTCCTCTGTGCATTTGTGTGACAGTCTGAGCAATATTGAGGCTACAGATACAGTATATGGTGTTCCCTACAAGCAGCAGTGCTTCTTTTCATCAAAGAAGACTACTTTAGTCATATTGTACTACATGCATTACATGTGTTATTGTTCCATTATTATATGCATGAGACACATGCAATGTATATATTCTATTATTATTTACAAAAAAAAAGTTGTCAAGAACATTTTCAATACGAAAAATTGCACATAATGTATATTTTATACTCCACAGTGACACTAAGTATTAACTATGAGACATTTCCTCAGTGCCTTTCTGTGCCAGGAGGGTTATTCACATTTGATGTTTCTCTGATGACTTCCTTTTAGGCCATTCAAAAACAGGCTTTGCCCTGTTCAGAAGGTTTATTACCAGAGGTCTTTGTGTCATGGGGAGATCCAGGAGGGCCTCCTCCAGTTTGACAAAAAATGCTCATCAGAGTTTTTTTAAGCACACCCTGGAGTGAGTCCACATCTCCAGCTTGACAATTTTAAAACATTCAAAGGTTATTACTGAAGACTCTTCACTTCTCTGTCTATGTAGCTGTATTTATCTGCAGTTCTTCTTTATCCTATCCAGTTGCATCAGCAGGCAAGGAAAGGTGTTGTTTCCTGACAGATGTGTAAGCTCTGTGAAATGGGCAGCAGTATGACTTTCGGTCTGGTGAGTTGCTAGTCCGAAAGGCTTTAAAGGCAGTTTAACAACCAAAACCTACAAAAATAAGCAATTTTGTGGCCTCACCATCCCACTAGGTTGTGGACCTTGTAAGGCTGCTGGTGAGAAGGCATGCAAAAGAATGTGCATGAAATCATGTTGATACATATAACTACAGTACTGTAGGCAGGCCTGAAGAGCTTTGGACTGAGCTGATTATGGAAGCACTGATAAACGTCTGGGTTAGACCATGCCTTTCATGTATGTTCTTGGCTTGTTATTAATACATTTAGGGGATTAAATAAAACAAGTGGAATTACACACTGTGCTGGCCAGAACTTTATTGCAATTATTGCAATTATTGGGCACGCAAATGTTGGATATGTCAAATGACATAATCAACCAGGGCCCTCAAATAAGTTGTTGCAAGAGCTCTAAAACTGTCCAAGGTTTTATGTATTCTATTTTTAAATGTAAAAATTCTCAGAAATGCAATCATGGGTCACTGTGTGTGCCTCAAATTTCTTAAGACTCCTTTATACAGGACTAGAAGCATCAGTATTATTATGATGCAAATATTTAAACAGTATTATTTTTGCACCCATTATAGAATTATGAATGCATTTAGATGTATTAAGTTATTATAAGATGTTATGTAACATTTGATTTCTAGCGTCTATTTAGGGGAAGTTTCTCCTTGCCCATGGTAACCAAGTAGTATAATTAAAATTACTAACATCCACACCTTCTCAACCTTGTTCGGTAACTTGGGGAACTGTATTCAATCTGTAGTCTTTTATTTGGTAGATCTAATAGTTATAATTTCTGCTAAGGAGGGACAAGCAAAGCTTTTTCATATGAACATGTTATCCATTTATAATAAAAGAAAAATTATCATATGCATTCATTTTCTTAACCTCTACTCAGATCTCCATTTTACCTTAGAACAGTGTGTACTAAGAATCTGTTGTTGTACCTAAATGTCCTATATTCTCTATGCCCTCCCCGTGTTCTATTTAAAAATGACAACTATGTAAACACTCACTAAATATGTGATACTGGATAAGATATTTTAAATGGTCAGTCCATTTAGTACTCATATCTCAGTTTTAGATATACTGTTGAATCAGGAAGGGTGATTTACACCAAATACGTGACACTAGATAAGACATCTTAAATGGCCAGTCCACTTAAGACTGAACGTTCAGTTATAGATGGATGTCTTACCTCCTTACTAGTCTATCAATGTTTTATATAATTAGAATTAACAAATCTGTCCCACTGCTGCAAAGAATTATTCCTGCTGCATTCTCTGCAAAGAAAAAAAATGCTAATCAGTGAGGTCCTCTTTTAATGGCAGATCAAGGAATTTAGGCAAAAACAAGTCAAGCCACTTGAACACATAAGCGATAAAAAGAGCTATAATCGGTTTGACTAGACTGACCTTTTAATCCTTAACAATCAAGTAATAGTCAACCAGTATGCATTGGTCTCATGTTAGTTACAGAAGTAATAGTGAGAAAGAAACAATAATACCAACATGGGACTTAACAGACATAATCCATCAAATAATGCACTTCTGTTCAGTTGTTCAGCCTGAACAATAAAGTCCAAAAGCTTATACACTGACTTGGTTATTGCACCTTCTCTTTTTAAAAGTTCCTTTAAGCCATCAAGTTTTTAGCTGCTATGAAAAATGTCATCCAGTGCTTTTCTAGTCTCCGAGCCATTTTGATGTCCTGCAGATCTGTATCGGATCAGGATAGATCAGGTACACCAGCCTATTCATCCATAATAGGACTCACATAAAATTTATACAAATTTAGAAGAGAGCAAGGTAACACCATTCAGAATGAAGTTGACAGTGCTTCAGTGGATAGTACTCCTGGTATCAGATCATAAGCCTCTCTTTCAACTTCCTTAAAAACCCCAGAGGTGTCTGGACTGATATTCTTTGTCGATGTTCTAGTCTTATCCTCAAGCCAGTAAGTTGTCATGTCTCCTTTGCCCTATTGAAAAACAGAGGTGAATTACATAAATTCAAAGTAATTGTACATCTAAGGCATCTACCAGTGTAGAGTTTAGATGTCCATGCACATCCATTTAGAGGACCACTTTAGGCCATATTTATATAATTATTTCCCATGACTGGTCAATTTGCTTTCAGCAATACAACAAATGTGGCATTTGTGACATCTGTCAGTGTGTGTTGCCATCTTACTTTGATTTATATTGTTTTATGTTTATTATAGTTAAAGGAAACCTGTACTGAGATATACAAGTATAGTATAAAAAGTACAACTGGCAAAAAAATAGAACAGAAGAAATGGGAAGAAGGGCATGAAAGTTAAAGTGATTGTAAATGTGGAAAAAACAGTAAAACCTTACTAATAAATTCTATAATCTTTCTGTGCCCTTAACTTTTGAAGAAACTACCTGTTGATCCTGCCAGTCACTCGGACTGCCTATTCCTTGGTGGTAACAGTCTGCAGGCACATAGAGCATCACAGTCCACATATCCCCCTTCTTCTAATAATTAGGCCCTAATCCTCCCAGCTGTGTCACAGTCCAGGTCGAAGGCAGGCTGTGACACAGAGCTCTGTACAAAGGGAACGATCTCTGTGTTTCTCATCCGTGCAAAGCAAAGATGTGAAACTTAGAGATCTCTTAGCAAAAGCAGCACACTTAACACACATTACACATAATTAGGCACACATTTAACCCCTTGAACACCCTAGATGTTAACTCCTTCCCAGCCTGTTTCCATAGTACAGTGACAGTGTATAATATCACTGATCACTGTATTACTGTCACTGGTGATATCAGTGACAGTTAGTTCCCCCAGCATCAGTTAGTGTCAGATTGCCCGCCACACTATTGCAGTCCTGTTATAAGTCGCTGATCACTGCTATTAGTAGTATAAAAAAAAAAATATTTAAAAATTCTAATATATATACCATAGTTTGTAGGTGCTTTAACTTTCACACAAACAATCGATATACTCTTATTGGGATATTTTTAATCAAATACATGTAGCAGAATTCATTATGGCCAAAATTTATGAAGAAATTTGATTTTAAAACATTTTTTATTGGATATGTTTTATGGAGGAACATAAAAAATATTGGGTTTTTTGATGACATATGTTATATGACTGCTGTATTTCTACATCTATACCCAGATGATGCTCCGGCGAATGTATAACTGGTGTTTAATCCTTTTCTTGACTTATTCCATCCCATCCCCCTTCCCTTCTATCCCCCCTCACCCCTCACCCACACCTTCCCCTTCCTCTGTTCATTCCCTCTCTGTTGGAATGCCTGCCTATCCTTACATGGGCGTCTTGGCTTTGTTCTATTGTTCAACATTTATGCTTATGTACAAGCCCCAACTGTAACTGTGATGCTGCACCATCATCTGTTGTTTGTGCTATGTACCCACTCTAAACTCATTCATGAAGAAATATTAGAATTAAAAAAGGTAAAAAAAAGAAAATAGTTATTTTCAAATTTTTGGTCTTATTTTGTTTATATTGCAAGAAAGTAAAAAAGTCCAGTGGTGATCAAATACTACCAAAATAAATCTCTATTTGTGTTAAAAAATGATATAAATTTTGTTTGGGTACAGTGTTGCATGGCCATGCAATTACCAGTTAAAGTAAAAAAAAAGCAAAAAATGGCCTGGGCATGAAGGGGGTAAAATCTTCCGGAACTCAAGTGGTTAAAGTGATGCAGACTGTATTTGGTTTTCATGAATACAAACAGGGAAGGTAATTTTCTTATCTCACTACCTGCTTTATTAGATTTTGTGGGGAGTGGGGAAGCAGTGGGGACTTAGGAGACTCATTGCGCCCCCCCTTTCCAGTATAGCAAAGGAACTCTGCCTCAGGCGAGGTTCTCACCTCACCTTTGCTCGAAAGAAATGTAAAAAAGACAGGAATACTGATTTCATTGGTGGCATACTTACTTTAGATTAGTGGCATAGTCAATATTGAATACAGAGTCTCAACATAATAATAATAACATGACTGTTAAACATCTAGCATTTTCTAAAGAAAGTCAGTGAAGCCTGTGCCTGTGCATTTATTTAGGATTGTAACATTTTAAAATAATACCTTTATAGATAATGTCCCACGGCACACCAGAATATAGCCTCCGATTTGTTTCAGTAGTTCATATGCACTGGAGCTGCACTGAATTTTGAGTGCTGAGAAAACAAAAATAAATAAGTCTAATGTGAGAGATATAATATAATATATATACACACACACATATATATATATATATATATATACAGTTGTGTTCAAAATAATAGCAGTCAGACATCACTAACCTGATCAATCACTGTTTTTGGTAGAAATTATATTTCTACATGGCAAATAATATACTAGCAGGTGTAGTAGAGTAATAGAAATCCAACAGACCCAACAATCATGACATGCATGCTGCTGATTCTGTGTGATTGAATCACTAATTGAAAGGGGCATGTTCAAAATAATAGCAGTGTGTTGTTCTATTAGTGAGGTCATTCATTTTTTGAAAAACAGGTGGCAATTATTGCCCTTATTTAAGGAAGGAAGGCAGCAAATGTTGTACATGCTGGTTACAGTGCATTTCTCTCTGAAATCCTGAGGAAAATGGGTCGTTCCAGACATTGTTCAGAAGAACAGCATACCTGGATTAAAAAGTTGATTGGAGAGGGGAAAACATATAAAGAAGTGCAGAAAATGATAGGCTAAAATGATCGCAAATGCTTTAAAATGGCAATCAAAACCTGAAAGACTTGGAAGAAAGCTAAAAACTACCATTCGAATGGATAGAAGAATAGCCAAAATGGCAAGGACTTAGCCAACAATCAGCTCCAGGAAGATCAAAGAAGGTCTAAAGTTACCTGTGAGTACTGTTACAATTAGAAGACGCCTATGTGAAGCCAAGCTATCTGCAAGAAGCCCCCGCAAAGTCCCACTGTTGGAAAAAGACATCTGCTGAAGAGGTTACAATTTGCCAAAGAGCACATTGACTGGCCTAAAGAGAAATGGCGCAACATTTTGTGGACTGATGAAAGTAAGATTGTTCTTTTTGAGTCTAGTGGCCGGAGACAGTTTGTCAGACGACCCCCAAACACTGAATTCAAGCCACAATACACTGTGAAGACAGTGAAACATGGTTGCGCAAGCATCATGATATGGGGATGTTTCTCATACTACGGTGTGTTGGGCCTATTTATCACATACCAAGGATCATGGATCAGTTTGAATACATCAGAATACTTGAAGAGGTCATGCTGCCTTATGCTGAAGAGGAAATGCCCTTGAAATGGGTGTTCCAACAAGACAACGACCCCAAACACACCAGTAAACGTGCAACATCTTGGTTCCAGACCAACAAGATTGACGCTATGGAGTGGCCAGCCAATCCCCGGATCTTAATCCAATAGAAAACTTGTGGGGTGACATCAAAAATGCAGTTTTTGAGGCAAAACCAAGAAATAGAGAAGAACTGTGGAATGTCGTCCAATCATCCTGGGCTGGAATACCTGTTCACAGGTGCCAGACGTTGCTTGACTCCATGCAACACAGATGTACAGCAGTTCTCAGAAACAGTGCTTATACAACTAAATATTAATTGAGTGATTCAAAGGAAAGCAAAATCTTCAAACATTTTTCAGTTTATATAGTGAATGTTTGAGTTTGTAAAGAAGAATACAAACACTGCTATTTTTTTGAACAGTCTAATATTCACTTTTCTTCATATTTTTTAGAGGAACAACACAAATTTGATATATTTTTCTTCATGTTTTGATTTGGAATAGAATGTGTAGTGTTCCCAATGCTTTTGTGTGTATGGAAATAAAAGCTATTAGAAGGATTTTGAGCTTTATTCACTTTTTTCAACACACTGCTATTATTTTGAACACAACTGTATATATATATATATATATATATATATATATATATATATATATATATATATATATACACACACACACACACACATACATACACACACATCATACACCGAAAACTCTATCATAGCATGCCCTATTTGACTCAAAATGTGCATGTTTCAACGAGGTCATCTACTAAGGGAGTGCTGACCTGTTTGGCTGGCAGTTCGGGGAGCACTGCACTCCCTAGACTTGTAGCAGTTTTGCCATTATCGAGGATCATTTGGGTTCAAAAAATAAAGTGTAAGCATTTTCACAGTAAAGCCTACTGAAGGCTAGACACTGCCATATGTAGAGCTAATCTAATGAAAAGAAATCACATCAACAATATCCACAGGCTAAGGATTTTGGGCAGTGACAGATGAGATTTCTGTACATATACAGTGGTAGAATTTATCCACGCACATCATTATAGCTCCAACAGTAGACATACAGTTGATGAGAAAGCAGAAATAACAATTGCATTATCCCTGAGTTCACATACTGGGATAAAGCCATACACTGTTATATACCTCTTGTTTAAACATAAAGTGGTTGTAAACCTCAGACATGAAATACGAACAAAGCGTATCCCTCTATAGTGTGTACCTGTGTCTCATTTAAGAGCACTAAGTGTCATTTCTGCCTGTTGCTTCGTTCCTCTGCTATCGGCATGAAATCACTTCTGACAAGTTTTCCTGACACCAAGAAAAAAATGGTGACAGGGGAGGGACCTCAAGTAGAGTGATAGCCTCAGCTCTGTTTATGTGTGCTATGTGGAGGGAGGTGTGTCCCTTCCCTCCAGTCAGCAATCAGAGCTCTCCTCACTGAGCTTTGCAGTGTGAAATTTCAGCTCTCTTCCTCCTTTTTTTTCTGAACTCTCAGCCAAGCTTTATAAAATCAGCAGTTTGAATGGATGTAAAGAAGATAAGACTGCAGATAAACAAGTTCACGTTTTGTAGGAGGATTGGTTTCATCTCTGTGTATCAACTGAGGATATTTACTTTGCTAAGTATATGTTGTAACGGAACAGGACCCCGAATGCACTAAGGGTGTTTCCGTTAGACTACCGCTTCCCTGTCCAAACACCGACCACGGACACCAATTGAAGTAAAACCAGGAAATAGACTACTTTATTTTAACACAGATACAAGATATATATATACATTCAAGAGAAACAATTCCCCCTCCCTGCATAATGACACAGGGCAGGGCAAACCACATTAAGCAACAAGAGACACATCAGCAGACACCCCCACCAAGCCAAAACACAAACACATACATCCCATAATAGTTCGCTCCCAAGCAAGACACACAATAGAACAATGGGATGCAACCACATGGCATTAAACAATGAACAATTCCCCACGCCAATATTAGGACATTTCACCCTGTACCCCTAACAGGCACAGGATGACTTACACATAAGAAGGATATGGGGAGCTGAGACAGGAGTTTCCCCACCTCTCCAAAGTGAGCTGTATTCCATGGGCCCCCCACCCAAAGTGACTCCCATCACATATGTATAGGTTCTCAACCACTTTAAAGATTCTTCCATTCACACTAAGAATTGTGGAAGAAGGAATCTGCATTGCTGGCTTTTTTCAGACGAACAGTGACTATATCAAATCACTGTTCAGGCATTCAGACAGGACTGCATCTGATTCATCGGATAATGTGATAATTTTTTCTACCTGGCCCAGTCAACTTTAAATCGGCTTTTATAGAGCTACCAGGGATGCTAACAAGGATACTCATGAATTTCGTGCAAGGCTAGCTTAAAGTAATTGCAAACTCTTACCAGTTAAAACAACCCATTCAGTCTAAAATAGAAATGCAGATATATATATATATATTATCTGCTACCTCCACTCTTAACCAGACAAACGCATTGACTCCTGCTGTTCTTCTCTGGGTAACTGCATTTATCTGCTACCTCCACTCTTAACCAGACAAACGCATTGACTCCTGCTGTTCTTCTCTGGGTAACTGCATTTATCTGCTACCTCCACTCTTAACCAGACAAACGCATTGACTCCTGTTAAATTCTCAACAAATGTTGTAATTATATCTGTGTATCTGTTGACTTGTCCTCACCTCTAGGCGCACTCAGGTTTATGACTGTGGCCTGGTTCCTAAGAAACATCCCCCCTTATTCATGTGAGCCTTATCAGCTTCTAATTGGGGCGGAGTTGAATGCTCATTTGAGCATCTCCCTATAAATTTAGTTCAGCTCATGGGGGAGATCTCTGATGGGGGGCACAGTCTCTGATGGGGGTGCTGCTTATGATGGAGTGCGGCTTTGAATGAGTGCAGAGCAGTTAAATACAGCAGTTGAACTAAAGCAGGAGAACTTAAGCAGCAGGAACACAACAACAGCAAGAAACTCTACTGCATGCTGGACAGACTGCAAGGAAACACCCTGGGAAATATCTTTTACATACCTGAGTCCCACTCCGTGTACCTTTTATATAATACACCCCTCTTCTCCTCTTCATATTACTATCCTCTGTTCCCAAATCTCATTTCTTTACCCCTCTGCTCCACCCCAAAACTTGTACATCTACCCCTCATTGCTATCATCTCCCTACTATTGCTTTCATCACCTCCCCAAAATGCCTCTTCCACTCCTCCTTCTCATTTTCCTCTCCTCTGTTCCCAAAATCCATTCACTATATCCCTCTGCTCCTCCCAAACATTTGTATATTGTGCCCTCACTGCTTCCCTCACCCCTCTATGGCACCTACCACCTCCTCCTATTACTCCGCTCTCCCACTGACCCAAACACCTCCACTAATAGTTTCTCACGCTCCTGCACATCCCGCTCCCATGCCACCTTTCTCACCCTTCTCCTCCTCATAACCGCGGGGGACATCTCCCCGAATCCTGGCCCTCCACCACCTCCCTCACCCGCACAAAACCCTCCCGCCTCCACGTCCTGCCGCAACCCCCGCAACTTAGTATCTGTCCCCCTGCTCCCTAAAATCTCCCCCCCGTTTTCATGTGCACTCCTGAAACCGCGATCGGTGTGCAACAAGCTTACCGCCATCCATGACCTCTTTGTTTCCCGCTCCCTCAACCTCCTGGCGATTACGGAAACCTGGATCCAGCCCACTGACTCTACCTCCCCTGCTGCACTCTCCTACGGCGGTCTCACCTGGACCCACTCACCCAGGCCCAATGGTCGTAAAGGTGGTGGGGTTGGCCTGCTCCTGTCACCGCTGAGCACCTTCCGAGTCCTCCCAAACCCCCCCTCCCTATCCTTCTCCTCCTTTGAGGCC